CTTTTGTACCTGGGCAAAGCCCTGAGCGCACAGGGAACTGTGAGAAATACTTATTAATGGCTGGCAATCATTCCTGTCCACTGTCAAAGGCTTCCTGACCCCTCTGTGTCCCTAGGAGAGCAGGAATTCCTGGCTGATGCAGTCACAGATACCAAAGGAGCTCACACATCATCGGATCGCCGCGAGCAGCCCCAACGCCCAGGAAAAGCCAGCCCTCAAAAATTGTTCACTCGTGGTTCCACCAAGTCAGTGCTCTCTGGGCTGCCCTGGGTTTTTTTGAAAAGCAGCTTTCAAACCTTTTGGAGCCACGAACAGCTCTGGAGTAGGGAGGGGTGATCACCTGGGTTGAGGTTCTCTCTGCTGCTGGGGAGGACTCGGAGAACTCTGCCTTAGCTGTCAGATCTGGGGGCCAGAATTCACTTTTGATCATTTGTTTGTTCATTTTTCAACAAATATCTCCATCCTCAAAGGCTTTATTGGGATCCAGCTCCAGTGGTGGGAAGGAGGAGACCTCTCAGAGTTGGTGCCACCCACGTCAGGGTCTCCCCTTTCCCAGGCAAACCCCCCATGGCAGCTTTTGGGTTTGTGAACAATTTTTAAGTTAGATATCTTTTTTTAACACAGCTGCACTAACATTTCGCATATAATTATGTATATAATAAAAATAGTCATAATAATCATAATTTGAGAATAAAATAAGAAAAGCTCAGTTTTCCTTACCTTTTTGGAAAGCAGGCAAAAGCTATACAGTAGGTGGAAGAGTGTACCAAGTAACAGACTTTTGAACACTCTTTCTTACTGGTGGTATAGAGTCTACAGGGAAAGTAAATACATTGAATGTAGGACAGGTCTGGGCACCAGGATCGCTCCCTGCCATCCCTGCCACTCCTCTGGCTCCCCCTGGGCTCGGGGGGCACCAGCACAGCACATGAGCCCTGGCAGCCCCCAGGCAGCCAGGCCAGGGGGCTCAGGTACCTCCAAGCACGGCAGCAGCTGCTCACAGCAGAGCAGGGCTGCCTGAGCAGATTTTCCTTCCTCTCCCCTGAACCAGCTTGGGATGCTGTGGCTGCAGTTTCACACCCCCTGTCCCCCCTCAGCCCCAGGGCCCTCAGGGGTTCCTTGGCATCATCAACGGCCATTTGAGTGTTTTCCTCAGCAAGGGGGAAGGATTTCGTGTAAATCTCAGCAGAAGTTAGGCATGGGTTCTCTCCCAGTCTGACACTGCTCCTGCAGCAGACAGCCCAGCAGGGCTCTCCACCTGCTCCACCTCAGGCTCCACCAGAAACATCTTCCCAAAGTGTGAAATTGCAGCAAAGCCACACAAGAGCACAGCAAACTCATCCCAGGGCCGGGAGCTGCCGTGCCCCACGTCCTGCTGGTCCCAGCCGTGCCCCAGCAGAGGGACAGCAGGAACCCGCTGGAAGCAAACAGGAGTCATTAACAGAGTTCTCCTAAATGGATTGGAAGGCTTGGCCTTAGCACATCCCATTCAGCAGGAGAGCCCTCCCAGGGTGGGCTGGGCAGCTCAGCTGTGACTCTGCTCAGCAGTGACCCTGCCCAGCTGTGACCCTGCCCATCCCTGACCCTGCCCAGCCGTGGCCCTGCTGCTGTCCCAGGGATGCCCAGGCAGTGTTCACACAGCCAGCCCATTCCCCTGGTGCTGGGACACGAGGTCACTGCACTGCCGGGGATTCTCCTCTCATGGCAGTCAGTGCTTTCCTCTGCACTCACTCCAAGCCCCTCTCCCAAGTGCTGTGCACGTCTTTCTCTGAGCTAAACTCCAGCAGGTTGTCCCTGAGCTGTGTGCAGTGGTCCCACAGGATGAGGATCCCCTGCTCCTGGAAAGCCCCTCGGGAGGTCACAGAGCTTCAGCCTGACATGCACATCTTCAGCCCACTGCCACAGAGGGCTCTGGGTTGGGAGGGACCTTAAATCCACCCAGTGCCACCCCTGCCACGGCAGGGACACCTCCCACTGTCCCAGGTGCTCCAGCCTCAGTGCCCAGCCTGGCCTTGGGCACTGCCAGGGATCCAGGGCAGCCCCAGCTGCTCTGTTCTATTAAAGATCTGCTAAAACCTGGAGATTTTTTCAAGGCTGTTTCTCTGTAAACCCACCCACATTCTGCCTGAGGTTTGGCTGTCCTGTGAGCAGCACAGGCCCTAAATCCAGCCCAGCCCCCAGATTTGCAGTGTTTGGAGGTACACGGGTCCCGTGCTGGTGCTCCCTGGCTCGGGACAGAGGGAACACCCATGGAACACCTCCCAGCAGAAACGGCACCTGCAGCACCCGCAGCTGAGCAAGCAACAGCAGCAGCCCCGCGAGAAAGAGCAGAAAATCAAAGTGCAAACCCCCACTGTACTTGCAGAGCCCAGAGCTGAGCCAGGCCAGCCCTCAGCTGGCTCTGGGCACTGCTGACTTGGATCCTGCGCAGGAATTCCCCTGCTCCTGCCCCCCTGAGCTCCAACAACCAAACCTGCCCCTGCTCAGAGCCTGGGGGCACCAGGCAGCCCCTGCCCCACAGCCAGGGGCCACCAGGGGCCATCTGAGGGGAGCAAAGCCAATTTCACAAAGAAATACTGGAAAAACATCCTTTGGTTTTCTTTTGAAAGAAGATATTTGAGATTTTTAGAAAATTTGCTCCAAGATGCATCCAAGGCAATTTGTAATTCACATTTCCTACTTTCTGATTGGTAAAGCTCTGGAAATTTCCCTATTCACAGTATAAAATATGTTTAAAGTGAAATTTCTATAAAAACATCAAACCCATTTTTATGTATGGACACCGTACTCAAATTTTCACTGAAAATTAAGTTTGAGGAGTTTTTCTTGGATGTTATGCCTTTTTTTTTTTAAGCTCACTAAAAAATTTTTCATTTTTTCCACCTAGAAATGGAACTGTGAACAACTTTTATGCAACAGAATATTCAAACTTTAAAAAACAAAAGTGAGTTCAGGTGAACTACTGTTATACACACTCCTGAATGCTGCCTGATCAGGGGCTGATCAATAACCTGATCAATGCCATAGGACAGTAACTGTAGCAGTTACACTGAACTAATGCACCCCAAAACTTTTAAGTACAGCAGAAGTTTATATCATTTGATTTTCTAATAATTGTTATGAGCACACAGACCTGGGCAATGAACGAGCAGCTGAGACTATGAACAGATGGAATTCCATGTAAATAATGAAAGTGCTTTTTAAAATACCTATTTCACAAGTGATAAAAAAGAAGCAAAAGCTTATAAAGCAGAAAGTCAGAGATTGCACATTTCCTAACAAACACATTTATGAGCTTTAAAATCCCACTCAGTGAAGGCTCAAGGCAAAAGTGACACATCTGGGCAAGCCAGGGGCCTCTGCCCCTTGTGCCTCTTAAAAACATGTTCTGGTCTACAGCCCTGGACTAAAAATGGGTGTTTGACCAGAAACATGGGGCTTAGGTGAGCACTATTTCTTCTCAATAAAAATATTTCCTTCCCAATGAAAAATCTGGCTGCTCTTTGATGGGAGGGGAGAACATTCTCAGAAGTCTGAAAGCAGCAGTAAGATGCAGCAGGAGGATGAGATGAGAGCAGCAGGAGAGCCTGGGGTGGGCTTCCCACAGGGAGCATTGCAGCATCACAGCTTGGGTGGGTTTCTCTTTGGTCAAGTTTTGGCATGAAATCCTTAAATTTTGGAGTTTGTGTTTTAATTTCAGCTTAGTCGACCCAAACAGTGATTAGTGAAGTGCACCAGCAACACACTCCCTGCCCTGGCCCTGCTGGATTTCAAATTCTCTTTTCCTCCCTTCCCTTCCTGAAATTTGCCTTGGAGAGTGCTCTGAGTGTCCCTGGGGAACAGCCCAGGGCAGGAATTCCATTTATTTCCTCCTGCACTCAGGGCTCTGTCCAGCGGCAAGAGGCCTCATCCAGGCCTTAATTTGTGAGAACATTTCATGGCTCTGTCCATGGCTCTGTCCATGGCTCTGTCCATGGTTCTGTTCATGGCTCTGTCCATGGCTCTGTCCATGGTTCTGTCCATGGCTCTGTCCATGGCTCTGTCCATGGCTCTGTCCATGGTTCTGAATCCCAGTCCAGCCTCCAAGGATGAATTTAGTTTTTCCAGCTGGAATGGATTTTTTTACACCTGCATGATCAGAGAGAAATCCTGCAGGGGTGAGCAGGGGGAGGAAAAGTGCTGTGTCAGGGATCTGCTGCCTGCTCCCACTCTGCTTTGACAGCAGAGCTGCTGCTCCAGGCAGGAATTCCAGCAGCATTGGAGGCAGGAATTCCAGCAGCACCAATGGCAGGAATTCCAGCAGCATTAACAGGACAAGACGTGGCATGGATTCCAGCAGCTAACGGATCAGTGGAGCACGGGCAGGGAAAGGGCATTTCTCCACATTCAGACCAGGTTTTGCACAAGAACTGCAGACGTGCCCAAGCCTTTGCTGTGTGCTGCGGAGCCGTGCAGCTGTCTCCTTCCTCAGCTCCTTCCAGATTCAAATGCAAATCAGATTTGATGGCCTCAGTCTGTAATTTCGTGCTGTGCTATCCTCTGCTATGCACATTAAGGAAACTAGAAGTGTCTTTGCCATCTATTTTCCTTTTAAATCGGTGGCAAGATTTGCATTAAGACCAGATAAAATCCCTAAATGGGAATCTTCAGGGACCGTGAGATTTTTGCAAAACAACTTTGCAAGAACCAGGATGAAAACTGGGGTTAGCAGAGTTCTTGATGAATTTGGCGCTTGCCTGGGAACCCATCCCTGCCAGCTGGACCTGGGCTGCAGGGTTCTGTGCCCAGAGACGTGCTGTTCCCTCACCTTCAGAGGGAAAGCAGGGGGGGGCACGAGTTCCTCCCAGCTCCCAAACCCTTCCTGAGGCGCCGCCGCCGAACGGCACGGCTCGAAAATCAGAGCCAAAAGCAGAGAATTCCAAAACCCCACTAGAGCTGCAAACCCCGCGATGGAGCGAAGCAGGCGGAGCCCGGGAGGCGCTGCAGAGCCCCGTACTCACTGTTGGGGTCCACGTTCTCGCAGAGCTCGGTCTTGGCCTCGCCGTTGGGGCGGTCGCTGGGCTTGTGGGACAGGCGCGAGGACATGGTGGCCGCCGTCACCACCGCCTTGAAGCTGCGCTTGCGCTTCTGCACGTTGAGCTCGGGGTGGAAGATGATGATGTAAACCTTGGGCATGTAGAGCATCCCCAGCGCCACCGACGCGCTCAGGTTCATGGAGATGGTGAGCGTGGTGGTTTGGATGTAGAGCTGCGGACGACAGAGAGGGGTTACGCACAGGGCGGGGCTGCGGCGCCTCACACACACAGAAATAGCTGCTGGAAAGGGATTGTGACCAGTCTGGGTGTGTCACACACCATGGCGGGGCTGCGGCGCCTCACACACACAGAAATACCGGCTGGAAAGGGATTGTGACCAGTCTGGGTGTGTCACACACCACGGGTGGGGCTGGGCCCCTCAGACACACAGAAATACCGGCTGGAGAGGGATTGTGACCAGTCTGGGTGTGTCACCCACCATGGCGGGGCTGCGGCGCCTCACACAAACAGAAATACCTGCTGGAAAGGGATTGTAACCAGTCTGGGTGTGTCACACACCATGGCAGGGCTGGGCCCCTCACACACACAGGAACACCTGCTGGAGAGGGATTGTAACCAGTTTCCATGTGTCACACACCACGGGTGGGGCTGGGCCCCTCACACACACAGAAATACCTGCTGGAGAGGGATTTTAATCAGTTTCCACATGTTGCACACCACGGCAGGGCTGCAGCTCCTCACACACACAGAAATACCGGCTGGAAAGGGATTGTGACCTGTCTGGGTGTGTCACACACCATGGCAGGGCTGCAGTGCCTCACACACACAGAAATACCTGCTGAGAAGGGATTGTGACCAGTCTGGGTGTGTCACACACCATGGCAGGGCTGCAGTGCCTCACACACACAGAAATCCCTGCTGAGAAGGGATTGTGACCAGTCTGGGTGTGTCACACACCATGGCAGGGCTGCAGTGCCTCACACACACAGAAATCCCTGCTGAGAAGGGATTGTGACCAGTCTGGGTGTGTCACACACCATGGCAGGGCTGCAGTGCCTCACACACACAGAAATCCCTGCTGAGAAGGGATTGTGACCAGTCTGGGTGTGTCACACACCACGGCAGGGCTGCAGCTCCTCACACACACATACCCACTGTAAAGCAATTTCTAACCAGTCTGGGTGTGTTACACACAGGGCTGGGCCAGCCTGCAGCAGCTCACACACAAACACCCACTGTAAAGTCATTTTTAACCAGTTTGCATGTTCCACAGCACAGGCCTGGCCAGGCTGCATCAGTTCACACACACACACCCATTTTACACCGATTTTTAACCAGTTTGCAATGCAGATGTGTGACCTGAGACCTCTGCCCTGCAGCCACACAAATTCCCTGCTTGATCCACCAACAGCCTCAGTGACTGAGAATTTCAGGGGCCTTAGCACAGTTCCCACAGCAAGTCAGGGCACAGCTTTGGCTCATTTATTTAGAGTGCAGGTCAGATTTGGACTGAAATAATTCTGATATAAATTAGGGTTTAGCTGAGCTGTAAGTCATAGAACAGAAGCCATAATAACACAGGTTAATAGAAATTATTGACTTAATAACATTGAGAAAGGTGGGATTTTCTTGTTTTTACACTACTTTAATTCTCTACAATTCACTGAAATAACTTTGCAAAGGGTACACAACGATTCCTGTGCTTGTGGTACCCAGCTGTGCTTGTTGTGAAAAAATATTTTCAAATTAGAGAACAGGTACTGAGATTATCCAAAGAAACCGCAGGGATTAAAAAAAATGTACCCTGCAAATATACAGGGGTAGGAAAGCCTTTTTTACTCCCTTTTTCTAAAACTGTCTCTGCAGAGGACACACGTAACAGATAAACCAGAACAATTCCCACGACTCCAGAGGATTCAGCACAATTAAAAGGCACAGAGACAGCACAGTACAGAGTGAGGGAGCTGAAGAGGCAGCAGCACCTGTGGCCAACCCTTCAGAAATTAAATATACAGGAAATCCAGAGAGATGGGAAAAGCATCACACACTGAGGTGGTTATTCAGAACACTCCTTGCTCTCCTCCTCCCACTCAGCGCTCATCACTCTGAACTTCTGATGGGGAAGCCCTGGGAATGACACAAATGTCCCCAGCCTTGTCCTCAGGGTGTCCTGCAGCCACCTCAGGGGAGCCTCAGAGCCTCTAGCTCCTGCAAACGTCCCCAGACACCAGGCTGCCCCTGCCCCTGTCCCTTGCCCCTGTCCCTGTCCCAGCCCCTGTCCCTGTCCCCATCCCTGTCCCAGCCCCAGTCTCTGTCCCCATCCCTGCTCCTGTCCCAGTCCCTGCCCCTTTCCCTGTCCCAGTCCCTGTCCCCATCCCTGCCCCTGTCCCAGCCCCTGCCCCTGTCCCAGCCCCTGTCCTTATTCCTGTCCCTGTCCCTTGCCCCTGTCCTTGTTCCTGTCCCTGTCCCTATCCCTGCCCCTGTCCCTGCCCCGGTCCCAGTCCCTATCCCAGCCCCTGTCCTTATTCCTGTCCCTGTCCCTATCCCTGCCCCTGTCCCTGCCCCGGTCCCAGTCCCTATCCCAGCCCCTGTCCTTATTCCTGTCCCTGTCCCTATCCCTGCCCCTGTCCCTGCCCCGGTCCCAGTCCCTATCCCAGCCCCTGTCCCTTCCGGTGGCACACGGAGGTGGCCCCCACACGGTTAATTGTTCTGTCTGTAATTAGGGGCGCCCTGCAGCAGTGCCCCAAGGGGAACTGGCCTGGCTGGTGCTGCCTCACCCTTGGGTCCAGCATTCCCCTCAATCCCGGGCCCAGCAGAGCAGCAGCAGCTCAGGAGCTGGGTTTTATTGCTCCTGGAAAGGGGTTGAAGGTGAGATGATTATTTAATCAAAGGGGTCTTTGGCAGCACCTCCAGAGCTCCCACCTTGCAAATGCTGATGGGAGATAAAAGGGAGGGAGAAAAGAGCGTTTGTAGAACAAGGAGGGATGAGTGACACACAAAGCTTCTCATGACAAATGGGAGCAGCCTAAAGATAAGGGAAACTAATAGATATGCTTATTATGCAGAGCCTCAGTTTTATGTCTTTTATCTCTGCTTTGTGGTTTTACCAGTCAGACATAAAAATGCAGTTTACGTGAAACTATTTCATTTCTTATTTCACTTCTTCTGATAAATTCTCGGGAAGCATTTTAGATGAATGCAAATGGGTGACTTAAGGTACAAAAGATCAGATTTAACTGACAATGGGACTCTAATATTAAACTCATGCGTGCCTTTTACAGCTGGCTGCTGAACCTGGCAGCTCCCAAACCTGAGATTAAATTAAGAAATTAAGATGCAGATTTAGTGAGAGATGCTCGAACTTGACACGAATGAGAACTGGGACGGAGCTCATCCAGCTCTGGGGTGACACCACCGTGGCCTTGCAGGGCCTGAAGGAGCTACAAGAACCTGGAGAGAGAGCATTTCCTAGGGATGGACACACAGGGCACAGGGAAAGGCTCCCAGTGCCAGGGAGCAGGGCTGGATGGGATATTGGGAATGAGGAATTGTTCCCTGGCAGGGTGGGCAGCCCTGGCACAGGGTGCCCAGAGCAGCTGGGGCTGCCCCTGGATCCCTGGCAGTGCCCAAGGCCAGGCTGGACACTGGGGCTGGAGCACCTGGGGCAGTGGGAGGTGTCCCTGCCATGGCAGGGTGGCACTGGATGGGATTTAGGGTCCCTTCCCATGACTGCAAGCATTGCCAGAGGAAATCCAGGCTTTCTGAAACCAACCTGGTGTTGGTGTCCCTGGCCAGTCCCCCGCAGGGTTTGAAGCCACATCTGCTCTGACAGAAGGACAAACCCTTCTGAAGGGTCACCCTCGCTCAAATCTCCCTTCCTCTCAAGCACACTCTGACTTTTGACAAATTTTAACTTCACACACTGCATTGCAAATGCAGGGACTTTGAAGCAGGCACTGGAGAAAACCCAACCCCGAGGACATCATTCACATGCAAAAGCACCTAGATTTTATCACTGCTTTTACATAAGTGATTTCCATTTGAATTTTAGATTTTTATGTTTTCCAGATTCTGGCTTTATTCATGCAAATCACAAAAATTGCCTTCAAAACCTTGAGAGAAAATTGGACTGGTCTGGAATACACACATCTAATAACGGGCAATTTTTATAGAACAAAATACATCAATGGCTAATTTTGCATGAACTGTGATTTCTCTGGGAAGCAAAGCACTGCAGGATCAGGCCTCTGTCTTTGCCAACCCAGGAGAGATTTCCAGCTGCTGGGCCAGAAGAACTGAACTTACAGTTTATAGAACAACTTCACTCAGAGCTGCAGAGCTTTGAAAAGTCCCTTTAGGAGTCAGAAACCCTTTGTGCAGGCTAAAGCTTTGCCTTCAGTCTAATCAGGAGCAACTGCTCCTCTTCTCTAATTCAGCTTTCTAATTATGCACTGGATTGTGTTATGTTGCAATATGGAAATAAAATGGTAACTTGAGATATTTTGGACTCGTGCTATTACAAGCCAATTTATCTCACTTTTATATGGGAATTAAAACAAATGTTCTTACAGACGAAGTAGACGGTTTCTAAATCTCCCAGAAGGCTTTTCCAGGTCATCTGAAGATTCCATCTCATTCTCTACATTATGTTGTGCAAACATAAGAATGAGAAACACTTCTTAATAAAAATTAAAATTAGCTTCCCCTGCGCTGTGCGTTTGCAAAACCACAAAAGGTGGGGGGTGAGAGGACCTGAATGCAAACGTGCCCTGGGAGATTTCGGTGTGCAAGGAGTGGGAGAGGGCACTGCCCCCTCCTTCAGCAGCTCTGTGCCCCCACTGGGAGCCCCAAACCCACCTGCACGTGCCAGCACCTGCTGCACACAGGCAGACACTGTAAAATGTGCTCTGGGCCCTGCTGCTCTGGCTAGGCTAGCAGTCAGCTTGGAACCTCCACGTGGAAAATGAGAGGGATGAAAGCAGCTAGCACCACAAAGCCTTCTGGAAAGAGAACCACTTGCACCTGTGAAAAACAAGAAATGTGTCCCATGGCAATCAGTGAGCACGAAATGTAAACTGTTTAAGAGCAGAAGGATTGGGTGGACAGGCACAGAGGCCATTTACTGACCAACAAACTGAGTTTCAGTGTGTTGTTAACCAATTAGGTGCCTTCTGATATTTCCTGTAAAAATGAGCTGTGTGACAAAAGAGC